CCCCAAAACCCCAAAACCCCGTCGTTTATTTGGATTTTAAAATGAGGGAAAAAACTAATCAAATCTAATTTATTTATATAATTAAAATACTTACTGTATTTTTTAAATATCAGACATTATCTTCTCTGTAATTCTTGTCCTCTAAAAATTAAAATAAATCAGATTTCACTTTTTTCAATACTTAAACTTTCAAATATGTTTGCTATGACTCTTCTTGGAATTAGTATTCTCCACAATAATCCCTTACCATTAGATTATTTCCTTAATATATATACGACATACTTTGACTTAAGTTCTTCTGTATATATTGCTAAGTTTGTAGAAGATGAAACAATTCTCTGATTAACTTCATTAAATTCTTTGAAAAGTTCAAAATTAAACAACTATCCATTTTTATATGAAAACATAGTTAAAGCCAAATCAGAGTACTTAATCATTAGTGGAATTTGATCACCGAAAATTTTGCAATTTAACATGCTGATGTGGTCTCCTTTTTATATTTGGAAATGACAAATTGAAAGATCTTTTCTGTTTATTATTTCGATGATTTAATGAGTATCATCAAACTATTCAGGATTTAGCAGATTGCATATATAACTATTGTTCATCATTGAATGGCAAATATATCTTAGAGGTTTTAATAAGTCAAAAGACTAAATTAGCTTGAGCTAGGGGTAAAAATTAAGATCCAATTCATAGAAATTAATTTTTTTAAATCCTCTCAATCCTAGCTAGTAAGTGAATGCTTTTCTTAATTTCTGATATACTCGATAAAGTGTAATAAAACCTTCATGTTTAGGAAGTATGATAGAGGCTTCAACAGACCTGTTTTTAAAATTGTAAACCAAGATTTTAGATGTATTTTTTAGCCAAAATAAATAATGCACTCTGCTTAACTGTAATATTTAAGGCTTCTCTTGAACCTTCGGGGTTAGTTCAAAAATAAAGTGATACTTTGTATTTAAACAAGTAATCCTTAGCCATGTTGTATGGCCAATAAAGATTTTTTCATCGATTGCTTACCATTAAATGATTCCTTTTTCTCTTTCGATTAAAATCTTCAAATTTCTCATATATACCACTTTATTCTTATTATCTTCCTTTGAATGCAATTGTGCATATTTACAATGAGCTGAGAAGAAAAAATCAGGGAAATATTCTAGCTCTCCTCTTTTAATACTAATTTTTCCAAATTTACTTTATTCGTTATAATCTATTTGCTAGTAGAAATCCATTATATAAATCAATGTTTTGACACACAATTTATAATCTTTAATATTTATTTAAGAATTTGATTCAATTAACTATTTAATCTTTTAACTAAAATGAAGGGGTTTTGGGGTTTTGGGG